ATTGTTGTTTATTCTGTTTTAATTGCTTGATCTGTTGATGAGGGGATTTAAAATAATGATCCATATTTTCAGATTCATTTAATTTGTCTTTTTTTCCAATATTTTTAGCCTTTTCCCATGCATTAGTGGCATTACATCTAGGCAACCAAATTAATTCCTTAAAGTGAATGATGAAGGAATCCAAAAGTGAGGCCAAAAATAAAATGTTTTTTGACTCTGAGAATCCAAATATTTGTTTTGATATTTTGGAAAAATTAGTGTTAATCTTAGCTTCAATAAGTTATTTAATTCAATTATTACTTATTAGTTATTAATATAATATTTATATATAATTTAAACTAAATTCTTTATTATTTAATAAATCATAAGTTATAATTATTTATTTATTAATTCTATTATTATGTATTTATTTATTTATTTTTTTTATATATAACCACTACACATTTATTAAGAAAAAGTCAAAGTATTTACATATATACATAAGTACATAAAAGGACTAACTAAGACTAAAAAATACCCAATAAACCATTCGTCATTTCCTTTTGAAAACCCCACGTGTGCACAGTCAGGCGGTTATACTGCTACTTTTTTTATAATAAATATAATTATTAAAATTAATATTATATATAATAATTGCATATTATTTTTAAAATCACTTACATTTTATTGCAGTCCTTATACTAATAATTTTCTTTTTAGCAATTCCAATAGTAGGAAATAATTCATTCTTAACAAAATTTTTAAAAGCAATAGGTGTAGTATTGAAGTTTTGTTTTCAGATCCAAACATAACATTTTTCTGCAGCATCTTCATCATCAATCACTCTAACTGGTTTTTGATATTTTTTATGTTTAGATGCTGGAAGGTCATTATTTATTAATCAATATCTTGTAAGGTTTCAAATTTTTTGTGCTTTTCATACATCACCATTAATAAAGATTTTTTGAGCAATCTCTAAACTAATATCCATTTGTCCATACCCATTATTATTACTGTTTAATAGGATAAAATATTCAAATATTATTCTTTTATAATTGTATTCTGTAACTGTTAACTGACTGTGTTGTTTTTCTAATAATTGTTTTTTTAATTCTTTTATTTTTTCAGTCATCTGATAAGTATATGGATTAATGATATCACTTTCCAAACCATTTGAAGCATCTTCTAATATGTTTAGATTAGATGATTGATCAGTATCCTAATCACTTTTTTTAAAGAAATTTGTAATTTTTTTTGTACCAGCTGCTGCTTTAATTAATAAACCATTTGGACCATATTTATCATAATAGGTTGATTTTGATATTTTGCTTACTTTATATAGTTCTCATTTTATTTTTTCTAATTGATTATCATCTTGCCATACTAAATCAAATTCTTTTATTTCATCTTCTACATTTTCTGAATCATTCCATGATTTCCATGCACTATCATCATCATTGCCCCAATCCTTAGTTTCATTAAAGGAATCACTAACTAATGCATCATCACCATCATCACCTAAACCTGAAATATTATTAAAGCCAGGATTATTGTAAAAAGGATTGGATACATCAGCAATTTCATTATAATTATTCTTTTTGTGATGTTTTTTTGTATTATTATTATTAATTAGCATTAATTTATGATTATTTTTATACTTTTCTTTAACATCATATTGGCCATTTATTATATGTGACTGCTTTTTGATTTTTTTTCTGTTTGGACAAAGGTGGCATTTTTTGTTTTATTAAAAAAATTTTTGAACAATGTTTAAGACAATAAATTGTTATCACGTGATAAAAGATCTCTTATTTTATTGGTTAATCTATAAAATTACCCCTGTAATTACCCCTGCAAAATTAGTCTGAATTTGCTTAATTTATAATAACATGCCTTATTTTTGACTCCCGATAACTAAAATTGTAAGCCAATTTTTTAAAAGAGAACAACTTAAAGTCTTAAACTATATAAAAATTGGTTTAACTGTTAATCTTTTAATAAAATATAAATTGAAAAACTAGATACAATTAGGAACTATGCAATATTTTTGATGAGTATAGGTGTCACGCACCATAGGACCGATGACCATCCTTAGAAAGGTGGAAATGCGGTGGGATGTGACGGTTGTGATGAATATTTTTACTGTTACGTGATAGTAAAATTTTTGATGGGAAAATGGGTTAGGTCGGGTACCTGATCCAACCTGTAATATTTGGGTCAGATTATCAAATTCATGACCTACCTCTGGTCAGATTCTAGTGTTTAATTCGTTAAGCTGGCAGATATAAGATGTTTTATATATATACAGTATTTCAGTATTTGAAATTTAAATTAGCATATTAATGACTATCATGCAATATAATCTGGTAAATTATAAATTTGGCTCGAGTTAATATATATTCTTACCGCAAACTATAATTATCCAATTATTTACATGGATAAACGGATAAGCTGGATAATATCAGATAATATAAAACCATCCTATCCATTTATCCGTCAGTTTAATGGATTGGATCAAGACAATTACCCGATCTAAGTCATCTAACCAAATATATCCTAATTATTTCATTATGCTACGCGTAATCACATTTGTAATCAATTCTCTAAAAATAATATTTCTACAAAGTTCTGTCTAATTATTAATACAGTCAAACCGATCCCCGGTGTACCGATAATTTCCTGTACCGATAAATTTTCATTGTCCCATTTCACGTATAATAAAAAAAACCGCGTTGTATCGATATTGTATATAATTTCGCGATGTAGATACTTTTTCTTGGTCCTTTATAATAACATATATTAAGATGTACCGATACTTTTTCCCTAAAACAACCTTCATCGGTACATAGAGGTTTTGACTGTACTCTAATTCTTATTAATCATGATGTAATATTTATGTAACATAAAATGTCGAACTTGACGTCTTGACCCTTCCAAGTGATACATTTGACTCCCTTATTACGATACATTTGACAAAATTGCTTAAATAATGCAGAATGAAAAAAAAAAATAAAACTCAAGAAAAAAATAATGGAACAATTTACAGTAAACAATGTGTTGCTGAAAGCATCAAACATGTTGACATTAAACTGACACAACTTGATAAATTTTCTTGCAACTTAGCAACAATATTAGCAACTTTTATCCAGCATATGTAAAATTTACATCGCTAAGAACGATATATGGACTAGTGAAGATGTTGAATATATCAGAATAATCATGGAACTTCTGAAAAGTATATTTAGAGATGCCCCATATTGCTTGATGATGCATTAGATAGAAATGATGTGAAAGACTTAATGTTGGAAGTAAGAACGTACTGTCATACTAAGCTCGAATCTAGATATGCTAAACTTAAAAAAGATATAACTATTAGTCATAAAACATTGCAAATATGTTAAATCTTTCATGGAAAATTTGAAAAATTCTTCAATTGACATTGATAATATGGAGAAGTTATACGAAATATCTGTCGTTATTATAAAAGTCAAAAACGAACCTGACATTCCGAAAAAATTTTTAGGACATCTTAAAAAGGTGGGATCTTATACTTCATCTTTGATGGCTATCGTCAAATGCGCGTGTATGAAAGAGTACAAAGTCCCATAATGGCGATGTCCGATAGTAGTGGAGAAAGCGAGAATTCTAATGACAGTGACTCTGATGACTTTGCCAGAAAAGTTAGAGAAAGTGCCAAAGAATATACTAGAATATTTATTAGAAGGTCTAGTTCACTATAACTACCATATACCTTTACTTATCTTTGCTTAATTACACTTAATTACCAGTAAAGTAGTAAAAATATGATATATACTTAATGATGTATAGTATTTTATCAATAAAGCATAAAAAAATTCAAATCGAAATCTATTTTTGTAAATAAATTATTAATATATATTTATCTATCCCAGATTACTAATACCGATTCTATTTACAAAAATAAATAGGGAAATTTCTCCAATAAATCATATTATTTAACTTATCACAAAATGAATTTATAACAGAGAATGGAAACGTAATGCTAACTTGTGTACGAAATCGCAATCAGAAGTCACCTTATGTAGTAGGGTCGTATGAACGTTCTTAAGCATTTAACCAACGAGACTTATTAAAAAACAAAATATAGACGCTGAAAGCATATTTATTAAGTTATTCATTTGAGTTTTCGTTTTATTGATAACTATCGATTGCAGAATCAAAACGGATTGATTATTAAAAAAAAATCAAAAACACTAAACCTTCTAATAACCAAGTAAGCGATTATATATGAGCTTTCTGATTACTGGAGACCGATAACCTCAGTCAATTGATCGTGACAAAATGTCACGGTTTTGCCACCGATAACCTTTTTCAACAGTTCGTACCAAAATTTCTGGAGGCATCCTTCAGTTCAAATGATAAGACTTTTCGAATTAACAATGTTCTTAAACATATCCTCAATTCGAATTCTATCTTACCAGGACATATGAAATATATTCTTATTCGAAGAGTTTAAAGATAATCGCTTGGTTATTCCTCGCGATTACGATGATACTCCTCAGGGATTCTCCATGCTCTTCACATCAAATACGTTTTCCCTCAATCAAAAAAGTTTCTTCGACAAGATTAAACGAAATATTTTAAGATTCGAAAGTGATTTCAACATCTGGATCTGTACATTCCCGACTTAAAATTTTATGTACTAATCGTTATGTCCCCAACACAAGACTATAGATACAGAACATATCGATGTAGCTTGGTGAACTGACTATTTCACTGCTCCTATAACCTCCCGAATCATAAAACATTTGGTTTTATAGGATTTTCTAAAACTTTCAGAGAAGTTCCCTCCGGGGACTAAAAGCCCAAGCTACAAGTTCCTACATATAGACTCGTTTCCTTCGTATTCGAATTTTTCACACGTTGGTAAAGAATTTCCTCTTAACTATCTCCGTTATATATTCTTGTCTCTTGGTAATCGACAACTAATATATTCCGTGCAATATTCATATCGTTGTCCTACTAAATATGGTTAAAGACTTGTTGTTAATCCCTTAACTGCGTCAAGATATTGGCAGGTCTTCTGCTAGTTCTTTGGCTCATTTTGATTGCAATAAAAAATAGCGGTTTGTTCAAAAACTCCGGGTCTTCGTGAAATTCTTGCATCGTCTTTCAAAAATTATTATAACACGTTCGTTGTAGATGAAAAATAGACGAAATATAACATCATCCATTTACTCCTGAAGGGATTAGCTTCACAAATCCAATGGTTTACGATACGATTTGTAATACAGGCTTTTAAAGGATAATATCCCCATCGGAATTACTGATTTATTGATGTAAAAAATAAACTACAAGATTCGGTAATACATAAACTTGTTCTACAAAGTGAAGTAGAGTTTCTATACTAATGCTCGCCGGTATTTCGTTATCTAAACTATCTATATGCTAACACAGTATCACATTAATTCATTAATTCTAATCCGACTTCATTTGTCCCCAACATCGGTATTCTGGATAAAATAAAATGGTCGTCAGTTATGCATAGAACATGCAGAGTCAGAAATAAATTAACAATATTGGCCTTAGTTAAAACTCACCGAAGGTTTATGTTCTCCGCTTAATAAGGTCCTCGAAATTTCTGAACAAAAAAATAGATATTAGCTTTGCAAGCTATGAATCACTCCCTTGCAAATGCACAGTCACAACCGAAAAAATATATTTCATTCGTACCTTAATTGCGAAGTGTCTCGTCCAGACTTTAATAATTTTTTTGTCAGCACTTCTTAAACTGCGATAGATCGGTTTAGTTCATGCTCGAAGAAATAGCACGACGTCATACAGTAAAATCTGCTTATTAAGAAAACGCCCAGATTTAATTTAGTTATCGTTATGACATAATCAGTTTAAAATTAATTTTATTGGCTATTAATTGTTGTTGTACACCCGAAGAAAAAAATCGTCCTGTTTCGCTTGCCGACAAGTTAATTTTAATAAACTTTTTTTTTTTTTACTATGCTTATATCATTTATATCATTTATATCATTATATCATATTTCGTGTTACCAATCAATAGTTTATAAATGATGTATTCAGAAGTATATATATACCTTCAAGGCTTCACACAAGAGTTACTACGCTTTATTTTTTTTCCGGTCTGTGTTGCACACAAAAAGCCACATTAGTCAAATTCGATCATTCGTACGACTGAAAAATTACGTAACGTAATTCACCTTTTTTAATAAATACCCTGAGAATTCGTCTGAGAATCAAAAATCTAATGAACCACCGATAAATTACTTTTTACTATGCTTTTGCTGTATTGCGTCACAACAAGCCACCAAAAGTTTATGCAAGAGTCTATCAGTCACGATGTATCCAGAAAAGTATATGAAGTATATATATACCTTAGACTTCTCTCAAACTTTCTCAAATTTTTCTAAACTACTACTCGCTTTTAACAGGAACAAAATGGTATTGTCACTCAATTGTTTGATTCTAGGACAAGCTTCCGATAAAAGTTTCACTCAAGACATAGGCGAAAAATATTGCGATGATAGTGATGTTGAAGTCGAGTTTTCCGATTTTAAAGTTTCACACTTCAAAGAGAAGCTCTTTCATGAGCAGATCATAAAAAATATAATTCAAGAAAAAAATGAAATGGAACTTTGGAAAGTTAACAGTCAGAAGGTTGTAGAAGAAGAAAACAATCTTAAAGATTTTACTGAAAGTGACATCGAAGATAAACTCGGAGGCAAAAAGATGGACCCTCGATTCTTGCTTAAAGATTATTTTAAGGCTAAGGAAACTAATATACGGGACATCCATGTCTTCATTGTTTCCAGCTCCACTGGTAAGTGTCTCCCAACGTTTTACCTCTCGAACAAGAAATTTGTGATCTTTTTTTATTAACTAGCTTGTTTCTATATTTTTAGATTACCTNATTAACTAGCTTGTTTCTATATTTTTAGATTACCTATATAAAAGACCAAGGCTTGATTTTAATAACATTCCTTTAGATTTAGGACAGTCTCCTACGCAACTTTTACATACTGGCGGATGTTCTTGGGATTATCAAGAATCATCTGAGTTGGAACAAGAATTGAGAAAAGAAGTTCGGGGGCTATATAACGTGTTCAAAGAAAATAAACGTGAAAAAACAAACACACCGATCTTTTTTATGACATCTGGTGCCGGATGTGGTAAATCTCGTAATGCTACAGAGTTACCTAAAATTCTCCGTAAAATATTCAAAGATGATCCAGAATTGGAACCTCGTTTTCAAGAAGCACTCATCATCAACATCTCTTTTGAAAATGGTACAAGAATCAACACGAAAGAAGAATGCAATGCAAATGATGTAATTGCTAAACGAATGCTATACCAGCTTCAGAATCAAGGCCTCCACTGGGTCAATATTCGTGATGATAAGCAGCCCCTTTCAACTATTAATATTCTTGAGAGATGTGCTAAAGAAAAAAAGGTAGCAATAAAGGAACTGACTGTGATCCTCGTTGTTGATGGATTACAAACTGCTCTAATTAATCCAGATGATGGCATGAAAAAGGATTCGTTATTTTATTCTTTAATGACGGAGATATCCGTTCTTGTCATAAATAAACAATCACCCTTGATTATTGCATGTTGCACAGCAACTTTAGCACGTCCATTCCATGAAGTTGTGCAAGTTTCTCATCAAAAGCGAGTTTTCCTTCAAATTCGTTCTTTAGATTCTCCTAAAGAAAAGAACGAGCCAGTCTTTAAAAATACACCTCTCCTTAATATGTTAGTAAGCGATATGGGCGGAAATGGCAGAGCATTAGAAGCACTTCAATCAGCTATAAAAGGGGTAGATTTTGAAAATTCCAGCTTTCTTTCAATTGCGGAACAAGTATATTATAAACTTAAGGATCACTATTGTGAATGGATTAATTATACTCGTTATCTAACACCTGTTCTTCGAGCTATTATGACGCACACCAAGTTGGTGTTATCAGCTCCTATTCCTGGCACAGATATTTTACCGGAAGAACTCTCAAAACTAGGGCTGGTCAAATTGGAGAAACAAGATGATCTGAGCGATAAAGGAACTTTAACATGTCCATATATCTGGTTGTGGCTAATGGCAAATGCATCAGGTGATAGTATTCTACGTAATTGGAATTTTAAGTATTATAGTGAAATTCAGAATAAGGAGGACCCAACCATTCCTCCTGGTTGTCAATTTTGGCAACATTTCAAACATTTCATTGCCTCTTTTCGTGTCCTTAAATCAAATGTATTTGAAATTAATCAAGAAATAGAATTACAAGATATTCATGCTGGCGCGAGACATAACTTTGGCTCAGCTACCATTAGGAACGTACCACTATCATTGAAGAGAGCTATCCGGCGAGAAAGTACCAAATCAAGTGCCTATTCTACCAATAAAACGGTAACTTGCAAGGAAGGTGATGATCAAATTGATATTGATCTCACAGATGCATCTGTCTGCATCATCAATGGATGGAGTGCACCTGCTGGCGATTCATTTTGTCCAATTTATCTTGCAGGCTCTACTCAACAGTCTCATACAGTATTTCATACAGAATGCCATCAATACAAGTGCTATGAGTCAACAATAGTGAACCAAACAACGTTTAATGAGGAGTATAAAAAAGCAAGTGATAAAGGGGATGTTTTTTTATTTTACACTCGTGGGCCTTCCAATGTACCGAATTTACCACTATTGTCTGCTATTGTTGACCGTAATAATTGGAAGTTGTATTTTGGTCCCTTTGTAGGAAGGGCATTCCTCTTAACGCGAAGTGATAAATTCAACATCAACAATTGCTCAAAATCTGAGATGACATCAATCCATGGGATAGGCTCTAAACGTGCCGATCTTTTGATGAGTAATAGACCATATCGCGATCTAGAAGATTGCATTGCCAGAACTAATATTCCCTGTAACTTCTTGATTAATTTCCAATTCGGCGCAACTCCTTCATCAACTTCACCAAACTAATGGTGACTTAGTGTTTCTTGCACTAAACTATAGAGCCAAACTTAGTGATGGCTGGCTAAACATGATGGTTGGACTTAATGATTTCTGCGATTATTTATAATGCTTTTAATACATTCTGCTGGACTAATCATTAGATTTTAAAGTACACTATATTTATGTTTTCAAAATTATAGCTTTATGTTGATCAAAAATTTCATTAACCAAGGCTCTTATTTATATAATTTACAAATGGGTCTAAGAATTGATTTTGAAATCATCTTAAAGAATTATGACCACGTCACAAAAATTTGAATGTACTATAACTTACAATAGAAGCATTTAACGCTATCTCGTATATAAAGATCAAACTTTGAGTATATGCAGGAAAGTTCGAGAACAAATTGCATGCAATTACTTGTTCCCGTGACATTTTGTCCCACCTAAATTTCGTCATAGATAAATAAACTAGTACCCTAGTCAAAAGTGGCTGACACGTGATTGCCGATCTGATCCAACCAAAAATTACAGTCACGTGATATATGTTTGTACTACAAAACTATTATTATTTTTTTTATTTTTACAATAATAGCAACAACTTATAATTATAAATTACTTTAAAAAATTTAGTGTATTTATTAATTATTTTAAGGACATTTTTGTTGATAGATATTATGAATAAAGAAACTATTTTAAGAACATTGTATTCTCATTATGATCCTTTCAAGTGCGTGGAAAAGTAGTTCTTCTTGAATATGATTTAATGTCATCAACTACCTTTTTCATTCCTGAAAAATTTTTAATTACAGAGTTGGATCAGCGATAATTTTTTACTTGGTGTTGTTCTATAACTATTTTTTTAGCATTATCTAAATAAGTTTCCAGTTAGGCAAAAATTAATTCACCATTTTTTATTTCTTTATCATCTTGCATGCTATTATTATTGATGCCTAATTATTTGTAGCATCACACAAAACTTATAGAAAAAGAAAATTAAGAATTAGTAATATTTATAATTATAAAATAATAACAATAAATTTTTTGAAAATTTACCATTTGATCTTATACTTACTACACATGTTTGATTCTTTTGCAAATTGACATCATTTTCTTTTACTTGATTACTCTTTTCATATTTCAAAAATGAATAAACTCCTTGTCTTTTCACTTTTGTGAAAAATGACAGATCATTTCCTAAATTTTTTTGTAATAATACAAGATAATAACACATAAGCCATTGACTTAAAAGAAATGCATAACAGCTACAAACCCATTTTTCAGTATTTGTTATATGAAATTTTTTTTATTTTCATGTTTCTTACATTTTTTCCATTCTTTTTTAAATTCTTTTTTCCATAAAGGTTTCTCTTTTCCTTGTAAAATTTGGAATTGACATTGTTGATGATATGGAAGTAATCGATTAATAATAATAAAGACCATCAAATCTAATCTAAGTTTGAAGAATTTGGGCAAAAAATCCGCTTAACTATAGCTACCTTCCAATGGGATTCAATTAATATAGTTGTTTTAAATAAGCATAATTTATCAGAATTTGCTGCACGAGCTATACATGCTGCCCAAATTATTTTGGGATGCCATAATTATAATTTGGGATGCTATAATTCATTCGGTTTATATATAATTTACTATGTAAAGTGCCAAAATAATTTGGGATGCCATAATTGAATTTGGGATTTTACTTATAATTACGGCAGTCCAAAATAATTTGGGTGGCATGTATAGCACGAGCCCATAAAATCCAATGGTCTTTTTGATACCAGTTCATCCATATATATGCCCAAATATTTCTAAGATCATATTTAATACAAAAATCATACATTTCTTTAACAGATATAATCCAAATTTTATCAGTTGAAAAATATTCATTACTATCATTTGGAATTAGAGAATGAAGATGAAAATGCTTTGTAAATTGTAATTAATTTTAATGTCTTCTCACAAATTTTTTGGGCAAACTTCAAAGGTTTTTCTATTTTTTGGCTGCAATATTTTGTGATTATCTGAAATCAAAGGTGCAAAGTTTTCATCAATAAAATCAATATTCAATTTAGTAAAACTAGCACTATAATTATTTGTTTTTGATAATATGTTATCAGATAATCATTTTTTTACTGCTTTCTTTAAGTGCTAAAGACATAATTGAACTTTTATATCTGGCTAAACTTGTCGTACAGTACTAATTTGAGCCCAATCTTTATGTGTTAGAAAAAACCTAAGGTTTATAAGACCATTTTGTTTAAGACTTTGAAAAAATTCAGTAAGAATTGCTGTTCGTATTCCATCACTTTTTTTTGCATTATTTAAAAATAAATAAGCTATAGGATATCCACAACCATCAATTTGTCCAATTGCTGCATATAATTCAAATTCAAGTGTGTTTGTTTTATCTAAAAATACATAATATAATTAATATAATAAATATTTTTTTTTTTTTTTTTTTTAA